GCCGCGTCCCCAGCCCTATTTTGTATTTTATTTAGAGACAGGGTCTCACTGAGTTGCTTAGGGCCTCGCTGTGGCTGAGGCTGGCTTTGAACTCGTGATCCTCCTGCCTCAGCCTCCCGAGCTGCTGGGATGACAGGCGTGGGCACTGCGCCCGGCTAACCTCGATCACTTCTTAGTTACCTGAYGACATTTCACTATGGACTTAGAGTCCTTTATGGACGTCACGTCTGTACAGTGAAAATACTATAAAAACAGTGGTCCGCGGACCCTCTTCCCCCAGCCCTGTGTTCAGTGACAGCTTGTTGGACACCAGCAACTGGCCATGTGTGGGAGACTGGTACCACAGAAATGGGCGGGCACTTAGCCCAGGCTGCTAGACACCCCTGGAACTAGTGCATGACTCTCATAAGGAATTCTGTGACTGTCCCCTGCTGAAGACCCCAAAGCCTAATGCTCCCTGGACCTGGTYCACCCAGATTTCCTGAGTCCTGACTTCCTGATGAACCCCTGGACGGGAAGCTGCTGGAAGAGGGGGAGAAAGTGGGAGTGGCAGGGCCCGGGCCAGAGGGGAAGTGGCGCATCCAGACCTCCCAGAGCCAAGCGGGGGGCTCCACGGGACCCACCCTGCAGGGGCGCCTGGGAGCCAAGAAGGGGCCCCAATGTCCAGCCGGACGGGCTCAGAAACCCTGGCGCTCACCAGCCTGGGCACGGTCGCCCGCCACCCGGGCACCACAGGGGTTTACTGAAGGCCCACAGGGACAGGAGGGTCACAGGCTGGCGATTTGGTTTTGACGGGAAGGAGACACGTGGAACCCGAGGTTCAGGAATAGAGGAAGAGTGTGCGGATCTGGTTCTCCTCCATTTTCCAAATAGAATCTGAACGTATCCTCCTTGTTTGGGGGGAACAGCCGACGTTYTTTTCTGGGGACAGGGAAACGAGACCAGCTTGGCGGAGCTCCCCAGGGACAGCCGGACTCTGTCCAGCACGGCCTTGCGTCAGGCCAGCTCTCTCCCAGAAACACCTGCTCTGGGGCCCRGCCGAGGGCCCCGCTGGACCCACAAAGGAACCATTGTCCTCCGGTAGGTGACATCATCTGCTGCCAGGATGAGGTGAGGCCCAGAGGAAGCTGCCCGTTCTGCCGGCCTGACCATTGACACCGCTGCCGAGGACCAGGTGACATCATGCTGGCCTGGGGGGGCCGCACTGAGTCCAACACCTCAGTTCCACACCTCAAGGTGTGGCCAGAGGCCTGGGCACCGGCAGGGCTCTGATGGGCAGTGGCGGGCAGGAGACCGAGGAGGGGGCCGTGCATCTGGCCCCTGTGTCTGGGAGAAATGCAACAGCCCACGCCTGGCACACAGTAGGTGCTCAGTAGGTGGACACAGTGGTTGTTGCTCTGTCGATAGCCCTTCCTTGCCCCAGCCCTCCAATCCTAAAACCCAGCATCCTTCCTGGAGCGCCCCAGGCCCGGAACTGGCCCCACCACCTCCCTGAAATCCCCTCCCCCATAAGCCACACACAGCCTGCCCCAGGGCCTTTGCAYTGCTGTGCCCATGTCCTCCACGGCTCACTCCTCAGTCACACAGGTCTGCTCCAGTGACCCTGTCCGGGAAGGTGTCCCTCAGTGCTCTTCCCAAACTACACTCCTCTCCCTGGGCCCTGCCCCACTCTCCCTCAGAGCCCCAACAACTACCTGAGAGCATCTTTTCATTCATTAGTTTATTGGTTTGACGACGTGCCTCTCTGTTCCCGTCTCATTCTCTACCCAGCACRGTCCCCGGCCCACCCTTTACAAGAACCCCAGCTGCCCCGGGCTGCAGTCCCAGTGTCAGCTCTTGGGAGCTGCCACCAGGGCCACATCACCGATCCTCTCTGTCTCAATTTACCCCAGAAGGGAGGCTGGGCCAGCCCACGTTGGGAGGCCAGGGGCTTCCTGAGTCGCGGTGARGCCTGGGGCCTCCAGGAGGACGTGTCTCCCTCCTAACCAACACCCGCGCCCCCGGGTGGCCTCCCTGAGAGAAGGGACCTTCACGGAGGTCACTGAGTCAAGGACACGGAGGTGAGATCCTCCTGGGCCGCCTGGGTGGGCTGGAACCCAAGGACAAGTGTCGTGGAGCAGGCAGGACRGCTAGGATGTGCCCACCCTGCGCTCCAAGTGCCCTCTACCTGAMGGAAAGCTCCTGGGGGCTGTGGTGTGTGCCCGGGGCAGGCCAAGGCCCTCCGGCTGCCCGGAGCACTGGTGCCAGTCCTGGACACRGGGCGGGACACTCCTGCTGGGCCTTCCTCTGAGGGCCAGTGCGCAGCCCTGAGTCCTGGGGTGGGCCACAGCCCTGGTCCCAGAGAGGTTGCTGATGGCAGCTGGGTGGCCCCAGGCCCCTGGCTTCACCTCTCCGATTCCTCCACCTTCAGATTCCTCAACCACAAAGTATGGGCGACACCCCATCTCCCAGGACGGCAGCGTGGGGTCCGGAGAGACCAGCTCCTGCCCAGCGGGAGCTCAGTGATGTGGGACCTGCTCCCGTTACGGTCACCGTGCCCTGTACCRTCACAGTGGCCCTCGATCCCTGTGRGTCCTGTCTCTGGGGTTCAGCCAACCTCAGCTGGAACATCCAGACAAATAGCTGCTCTGTCCCGGRCACCGGGGGACTTTTCTCTTGTTGCTGTTCCTGGGTGACAGAGTGTGACTTCTGCTCACACAGCAGCGACACGGCACAGGGTTAAAGTCACCTAGAGGTGAGGAACGCGGAGCGCGGGACTGGACAGCCAGGCCTGGCCGGCCATCTGGTGATTTGGGACCTCAGGGACCCCACTTCCTGCTCTGACTCCACCCTGGGCCTCGGGGGGCCTCTGGGGGAGCCGCCGGGTCTCCAGGCTCCTCTCTTCCTGCTTTTGTTTTCCTTCCCCCCTTTATTCCCTGGTCACGGGGTGGGGGGTGGGGGCAGGCCGTCAGCAGATGGCTTCAAGGCTGACCCTGGAAGCCCCGCCAGGCGCCCGCTGCAGACCTGGGAAGCGCCCTTGCGGKGGTGGTCCTGGGCCCTGAGCCGAGGGCACAGGGTGGAGGGCTCAGGCCATCCCGCCATCTCCAGCCACAGGTACCGCAGTGGCAYGTCCCTAGCCATCAGCCGTCCCTCCCATAAGACAAATATTATCTAAAGGCTCTCGGAAAAGGTGCGGCTGCGGATTTCCAGCTCACTGGAGATCTTGGAAGGAATGAGAGGTTTGGTTGTCACAGGAGCTGACTTTGAAGGCACGTGTGCCCCAGGCTAAGTGCAGCCACCACACCCACCTCCTCAGTGCACAGCCTCCCCGTTTCACAGAGGAGGAAAGTGGGGCACAGAGAGGGCAGGAGCCCGCCCTGGGTAACACAGCAGAAAAGGGGGAGAGCRGGACTCGACCCCACGTGGGAGGACCCAGGCCTGGACCACTTCTCTGCAGCAGGCAGGTGCTCCTGTCCTGACTCTGCCCTCGCCCTGCCCGGGCGGGACACCTGGCGGCCTAGGGCAAGGAGGCCTGGTAAGTGCGCACCTACTGTGTGCCAGCAGCATGCTGAACGCTAGGACAGCCTCACAGCCAGCCCCAGCGGAGGGCTGAGGCTTAGGGACCTGAGCCAGGGCGTGGCCAGGCTGATGCAGTGGGGCCCGGGCCCYAGTGGACACCAACTGCCAAATGGGACGGGCTGAGCCAGGCTGACTCAGAAGGAGCCATGCTGTGGGGGGGGGGGGCGCTGACCCACAGGGGACGGCCAGGGCCACCTGCTGCCACTCACTCACTCAGCCTGTTCCCCAGGGCAGTGGTGCCGGGATTCGGGTCAAAGACCAGGTCAGGTGGCACCCTAGGAMGGGGCAGGGGCGGTCAGCACCTGAGCCTGCGTGTCAGCCGTCCCCGGCCCTTGACACAATGTCACAGGGAACAAGAGTGACGGAGAGGCAGAGACACAGAGGCCCAGAGATGACGCAGAGAGAACCAGAGACAGAGAGAGAAAGACAGAGACAGAAGGAGCGAGAGTCCTCTCCCTGAGCTGGGCCACCCAGGCTGGGGGCTCTGGCTCCTAAATGGAAGCCCCACTAATCTGTCGAGGGCCACAAGGAGCACAGAGCTGTGAGAGGAGGGGTCCTGCCACAGAGACACATGTCATAGGTGCTCAGCTTCTGACTGGGGTCCGTACCTTCCTACTCTGGTTGCTGTGTGACTCGAAGTGAGTCACTGCACCTCTCTGKCCAACAGAGGGGATGCTGAATCTCTGCACCCTCCAGGGCACCTGTGAGCTCTCAGCAACCCCAGGGGCTGCTCAGGGCTCCTTCTGTCAGTACTGCCACCCTTCAGGATCGAGGGTGCCCATGGGAAGGAGGTGCCCAAAGGGGATGGCTAGGTCCTCGCCTGTCCTCAGATGCTCCTGCAAACCGAGCCAACACAGACTGGGACAGAAGTCTCCAGGCGAAGGTGCCCAGCCTTCTTACTAGGTTCAGGCCTGGGTGTGATGTGGGTGTCTCTGGGGTTATGGAGAGAGTTAGAGAGACCATTTGCCAAGAGCTGGGTGGGGAAGGGCCCTGAGGGGAAGATCAGAACCCAGAGTGGCCCAGTCCCTGCCACTCACTCGCTCACTGTGCATCCCCACAGGTGTCTTTCCCTCTCTGGGCTGGGTTCCAGTTCACCAAATCATCATTAAGGTCTTAAGATTGCTCTGCACCAACTCCCAGAGGCTGCAGGCTGCTTGGTAAATCACCGGCCACTGCTCCAATAGCTGCCCACGCCCTGCCTGAGGGATGGCGGAACCCCTGACCTGGCCTGTGGCCTCGGGCTGGGCCCCCTCACTCCACCTGCCACCGGGGCCCCCTCAGGCCCTCTCCTCTCACTTTTGCTCCATGACAAGATGACCAAAGCCCCAACTCGACGTGCATGTGACACGGACACTTGGTCATCCAGGGAGGGTGAGAGGGGATGAAGCAGATGCCAACTAATCCTCCCTAAAAATAGGGACAAGGAGCATTTGTGTCAGGGCTGGAGTGTCTGCACGCCAGCTCAGGGGTGGCCAGGGCCCTGACAACCTGAAACTGTCTGAATGTCCTGACAACTTGGGGTGTGAGGGATCCCGCYGCCGGGCAGTCACCCCGTGAGCCTCCTTCCCGGACACAGCAACAGGAAGGCTCACCCCGCGTGGCTCTGATTGACAGCTGTTCTGGAAGCAGCAACTTCCCGGCCTGATGCTGGGATCCCTCCCTGGGAGGCCTGGAGGGAGGAGCTTCGGCGGCTGCTTTAATATTTTAAAAAACAGAATAAGCTTACTATATCCGGCGGCTCCGAATCCGTCTGCCTTTTCCTTAGGGATGAAAATCTCTGTTGGCTGCGAGCAGAGAAGCGCCGGAAAGACTCGCGACTGCGGGAGGCGAGGTGTCGGAAGGAGGAGGTGCGCTTGAAGGGGGTCCTGCTGGCGGGCTCCCGGTCAGGGCCCACAGTGGTGGTCACTAAGTTGAGGGCCTCCTGGAAGGACCTCCTCATGGAGCCCATCCACTGGGCCATGTGGCTCTGGGCCACTGTGAGTTTGTCTCCCAGGTAATCCATGGGGCCGGCTGGGGAGGACGGCTGAGCCCCGGTGTCCTCTCCCCTCTCTGGCTCTCTGGTCGCTGGAGAACTTCCTGGCTGGCCCCACAGAAGAGCCTGCAGCTCCCGGCAGCCAGACTAAGGCTGGACGCAGCGCCGGCTGCAGAGGCAGCGGCTGGAGGGTCGGGCTGGGGAGTCGCTGTCCAGTCCACTTTCCAGTTCTGAGCGCACACCCAGCTGAGATCCAGGGCGTGACAGTCCCTCAGAGTCGGAGAGGAGGGGTGCGGGCGCTCTGCTCCTCTCTTTCCTTCAGGTAGGTGGCCCCTCAGAAGCAAGCCCTGGAGGGTCCCAGAGGGCGGGCTGCCCCCTGCCGCTGCCCCAGCCCCGCCGCACRCCGCTGCTGGGCTCGGCTCACCTGACGCGGGCAGGTCTCCGTCCTCTGGCTGGAGATCCCAAACCTGTGGGCCAGCGGGTCGCTAGCTCATTTCCGGAGGCAGCCACCAGGGCCCCCGGGTCCCCTGGCTGAGCAGCCCTGGATGACATCAGCCCCCGCCTSGGCTTAGCGAGGGGCTTCTGGGCCCAGGAATGCAGGAGGGGCCTCGCGGAGGCGGCCGCCCAGGGAGCTGGCAACCGCCCCCATTTCTTTTTTCCCCTAAGTCCCAACTCGCTGGCTGTCCCCAGAGGCCAACGGTGACTTCACGTGCTTGACAGCCTACCCGCCCTGTGCCCTCACCGCAGGCGCACACGGAAATGCGGCGGCACGGGTGTGCATGTGTGTGCACGTGTGCGCGCGTGTGTGGGCATGTGTGCGAGATCCGCCACCGGGAGGCTGCGCCTGCAGGGAACAGCGTCCGCCCCCCGGGCCCGGCAGCGCCTCCGAGGCCCTGGTCTGTCTCCCTCCCCGGCGCGTGGGTCAGTTTCTCGAGCTGTCCTCCCTCTCCCGCCGGGTGGGTCCTCCCCGGGCCCCTCTGCCCGGCGCTCTCCAGCCTGCCCAGCTTGCTCCGCCCTCCCCGCCCAGGAGGCCACGCCCAGCCAGGTGAACCACTCCTGAGGTTCCCCCTCGCAAGGGCCTGGCGCGGGCTGCACTCCGGCACCCACCGCAGGGTTGCCATGGCAACCCAGGGGCKCCGCATCTGCCCCGTCCTAGGGAGGCGGGCTGGGCGAAGGGAGCAAAGGGAGTGATTCACGGCTTAAGAGGGGTCACGTGGGCTCTCCGGGGTTAACCCGTGTGGAGCTGGAGCTGCAGCAACGGGAGGGGGCGGGGAGGGAGGAGAAGGCAGCCGGCTGTAAAGGCTGGGGGTGGGGTGCAATTCCGGGACTGCGGGGAAGGGGGCAGCAGCAGCCAGATTCTGGATGGTCAGGTTCACCTGTTGAGTTTTCTTGCCCCCARCCCTGCCCAACACCACCCCTCAGAGAGGTAGATTCACTTGTTCAAGATCACACGGCAAGGCTCCCACCAGGGCGCACTGGAGCTGCAGCCTCCCCATGTGGCACCTGGCCCACAGCTGGGCTCCCTGCACAGTCACGGGTCAAACACCAAGTCCAAGGCTGAAGTGCAGGTCAGCCCGGCTGCTGCCGTGTTCCTTCCACCACCGCCTCACCTCAGCTCTGAACAAACATTTGCTCTCCAGAGGCAGGTCAAAGGGCCCAGCTGGGCAGCTCGCCACAGAGGTCCAGGATCTGGTGGCCAACAGAGCGCCTCACCCTGTGGATTCTCAGTCCCAGGCCTCCCTCATTCTTAATCCTCTGCTTCATGAGTGCCTGCAGCGGGCCTCCTCTGGCCCAGGCACTGCACAGGGACACCAAGGATGGTGCATCCCGTCTGGCACAGGGTGGCCCAGGACCAGGCTGGTGGGGGGTGTTTACTGACCGGGTGACCCCCACCACCAGGACAGTCAGTCCCAGCAGTTAACTCATGATGTGTCCATTTGACAGAGGAGGAGACCGAGGCCCAGAGAGGAGAAGCCATCCACCAAGGCCCAAGGCCATGCAAGGGGACATGCAGCCTCCAGGACAACCCCTGTGTTCCTCGCCCCCTGTATTCATGCTCTGCTGGGGTCTCCGCCCAAGGAACCCTGGGGACTCTGTGATGATGTTTGAGTCCTATGCCTGGTGGTCCATGGCACCCAGCTCCCAGCTCCCCGGGCTCTGGGGTGGTGCTGGGGCAGCCAGTGGCCGCCATGTTGTGAGGCTGCTCAAGCAGCTCCACCTTGTGGAGACACCTGTGTGCAGAGGCTCAGAGGCCCTGGCCCTCTGCCTGCAGCACAGCCAGCCACCTGAGGAGGCACAGTGGAGCAGGTCTGCAGCCCCCGCAGCATCCTGATGGCTGACCACCCAACCCGAAGGCCCCGGCTTCCAGTGTAATGCACATGGTGCTGATGCCCAGGACTGTGCCTGCCCCTGAGGAAACCCACTGTTGAAGGGGGTGAAAAGGGGTGGGTTATAAGGGAAGGCGAGGGCCTGTCCCTGCACTGCCTGTCCTGCATGTTAGGAAGCAGCAGGCTCAGGGCAGACACCACGCCACAGGCCCCCGCTCCATCTTCCCAGGCAGCCTCCCCGTTCCAGGGCTTCTGGCCTCCACACTCGGCCCATTTCCCTGTCAGAGAGGGTCCACCAGCTGGCGGTCACTTCACAGCCTTCCCTCCCCAGGCAGCCGGGGACTTCTAGGATGGGACAGACAGCAGCCCCCCCCCCCCCGCCCAACGCACACACACTAGGGCCTCAGGAAAGCCACACCAGAAATACAGGGAGAGTCGGAGGGGACAGAGCTTTGTGAAGGTCCCTGAGGTGGGAAGTCTGGGCACCATCACCRCCTTCAGGAGGGAAAAGGGTAAAACAGTAGATCAGACATATTTAAAATGATCCTGCCCAAGCGGAGGCGGTGGCACACGCCTGTTGTCCCAGGGCCTCAGGAGGCTGAGGCGGGAGGATCACAAGTTCAAGGCCAGCCTCAGCAACTTAGCAAGGCCCTATCTCTAAACAAAAAATAAAAAGGGCTGGTGTTACCGCTGTGGGCTGGTGAATTAGGATATTCTTTGATGACTGACTTTTTGGTGCCCCCTAATTTTATGCCCTCAGTGAGAGCCTCCCCCAGGCCCACCATGACCAGCTGGATCCGGCAAGCATCAGATGAAGGGTTTGGACACCTGTCACTAGTTCTTATAAGCTGTGTGACCTGGAATAAGTCACCTAACCTTTCTGACTTTCCAGAGATGAAATCATGGAGCTTATCGCTGTCGAGGACGGAGTCAGAACCTCCCAGACTCAGACCCTTCTCTAGAAGACACCGGCTTCCTGCTCTGTGAGTGTTGGTTCAATAACACSTGGAGCCAGATGTGGTGGCTCACGCCTGTCATCTCAACGGCTGGGGAGGCCGAGGCAGGAGGATCGCAAGTTCAGAACCAGCCTCACCAACTTAGCAGGGCCCTGTCTCTGAATAAAATATTTAAAAAGGGCTGGGACGGGGCTCAGTGGTTCAGAGCCCCTGGGTTCAACCTCTGGTACCAAAATAAGTAAATAAATAAAATAACACATTGATCTTGCTGACAGTGACGGCCACGACCAGCGACCGGCCGGAAAGAACAACCCAGGTGCCCCGTGTGGAGGATGTTTGAACGCCTGGCGGCAGAACCAGCTCCTGTGCAGCACGCACTCAGTGTGTGGCCTGCTTTGTCCCCTCCCCACCTGTGGCCCTGGCTCCCCCTCTGCATTCTCCTGAGAGCCCCCACCCCGACGGCTGAATGGGAATCTCTGGCTCAGTCGAGAACYGGACCTGGCAGGCCCCCACCACTTCAGCTGCCCACTGTGCGCCAGGGTCCCTGCATCCTGGGTGCACCCCTGGATCACACCATCTGCTCCTCCCAACAGGGCCACCGGCTTGCTCTCTGATCAGGGCTCCCACTTGCAGACGGGAACACCGGGGCACAGAGAGGTCAAGTGACCAGCCCAAGGCCACAGAGCTATTAAAGGAGGGAGTCTGTCACTTCCAGCCTTGCGTCTGTGACAGTCCYGAAGATGTCCTGGCCTCTGCCTGGTCTGTCTGCAGGTGGACAGGTGTCTGGGACAGCAGAGACCGGCCTCCCTGCCTCCCCCCGGCTTCCTTTAGGAACAGCGTGGTCTGAGCCGACTATAAAAAGCGTTGCTCCCCGAAAACTGGGGCAGCCCAGGCTGCTCCCCCAGAGGCTTTTTTCTGCAAGCTCCTCTGTTCTCTCCAGGAAACTCTTGGGACGTTGCTGGGCATCAAAAAGGAAAGCGAACCATCCCTTTCTTATATAATTAATCCCCAAAGCAGCACAGATGCTGCCAGGTCCTGGAAAGAGAGGGGACCTTCTCCACCAGGGTCGGCGGGCGGCGGAGGCCACCGAGGGCAGAGGGGTCGGCAGGTCGCTCCTTCCGTCCACAAACATCCTCTGAATGGGGACTTGGTGCAAAGTCTGCGCTGACCCTGGGGACCTACGGTCCCCAAAGATCTCAGGGTATCGCTCTAATCTCAACTGTTAAAGGAGAAGGGGGTCCCGCCGGACCACCTCCGACCCGGGTCACACCATCTTCTCCCCAAAACTGAATACAAACACGTGGACTTTCAGGAATTTGTGATCCACGGAAGAAAGAGCCAGGGGGCGAGGGGGAAGTGGCCACCCAACCCGGGGGGCTCTGAGGGAGCAGCGAGGCCCCCCCGCTGCGGAGTGCAAGGGGGAGGGGACCCCCAAGAAAGCGGGAGGTGGAGGAGCCAAGAACAAAGGGGACATGAGCACTCACTGGGGCTGGCGCCTGGGAGAGGGTTTGGAGGATGAACAGGAGGACGCCAGGGAGGAGTCTGGGAGGCAGGACGGCACGTCAAAGGCGGGAGGGACGGTGCGGTCTCCCCCTCCCTCCTCCCTCCATCTCTCTGGCTCCCAACACGACTTCAGCCATTTCCAGATGCTCCCAGGAGGCCCCACTTGGACCACCCTCTCCACATCCTGCTTCCTAGGATGAGGCAAGGCAGGTCTGTGGGCCGGTAAACAGGCCACCGTGGTGCGGAGGGCGGAGGTGGCGGGGGAAACAGTAGCACCTATTAGYTGAGCAGCTGCTACGTGCCGGGAACTGGTCACCCACACCTCCCACCTCGGAGGRCCCTCTGGGACAGTCCCGAGGTAACTGCCCCCACTTTCCAGAGGGGACAGTGGGGTTGGAAGAGCTGAAGGGACGTCTGAGGCCACTCAGGGRCAAGAGGGCTCTGGGAGTGGAACCTGGGCTCGGGTTCCAGACAGAGCAGAGCTGCATCCCACGGAGACCCCCAGAGCCAATCCTGCCCGACCCCTGGCTCGAGGGCAGCGAGTGGGGGCAGACCCTCCCCACGTGTCCCTGTCTTGCCAGTGGCCGGAGACAATTCCCTGGCCTGCGTGGGAAGGGCTGGTCGCGAGGCCAGCTCACACCCGTGGTGCAGGATGGACAGAGCAACGTGGTGCAGGACCGACCGCTCGGGGCCACCCTCCAAGGCTGGCACCCTGGGCCCGAGTGTGGCTTCTCTCCACCGAGCCTGTGAAGGCCCAGGCAAGGGGACGACGTCGGCCTGCCTCCGCACGCTGTGAGCCCTCGATGCTGCCCACTGCAGGGTTCAGAGGTCCCAGGACCAGGGCACCCGGCGGGGCTGGACCCGGGCCGCCCCTGGGCTAGCCAGGGAGACCRCCCTGTGCAGGGCTGTGCCAGGCCCCAGGGACCTTGGGGCCAGGTGCCTCTGACAGGACGTGCTTCACGCCCACCTGCCTCCAGCTCAGGTCCACCCTGGGCATCCGGGTGAGCTGCCCCTGGTCACACCTGGCCGTCCCTCATTCAGATGCCCACATGGCTGCTCAGGTCAGGTCCAGCTCCCTGGCCCTCCCTGCCTCCATCTGGACTCCTGCCTCCTTTCCCTGTGCTGTGGGGCCACCTCTGGGCTCCCTCCCTGCCCATGTCACCCTCACAAGTCGCTTCGCAGCTGGGCCGTGACTCGGTGTGCCCAGCCATCTCCGAGGACAGCAGCTGCCCACTGCGGGGAGCCGGGGGAGGGCTGCRGCTTGGACCCAGGCTCAGAGCATCCCTCTCCCCAGGCTGTTTCCACGGCAACAGGAAAAGCCTCCTGGTGGGGGCGCCTGATCTCAGTCGACCCGGGTTATTTATAAACCAGGCCCCAGACCTCTCCTCGGTCCCTCGTGTCACATTCTTCCTCAAACAGTCATCGGAATGACCCGACATGTCTTTACCTGACCTTGGGAGGCGCAAAGACGGTCAGCCAGCCAGGAGACCTTTCCAGAAATAGCCCTGTCCACACGAGGGAGCGACCGCTGTGTCCCGGGGCTGGCGAGGCCTGGGGGTCGTCCCAGCCGGGTCTGACCAGTAGAGCTGCCGACCTCCTGGGAGGTGACCCATCTTGCCTGAGGCCAGGGCTTCAGGGGTGACACCCCCGGGTCCCCRCTGCCTGCCGGGTGGCCGTCTGGGAGCTCACAGCACGTTCCTCCAGAGCAGCGGGACCTCCATGTCTTCGCATCAGTGAGGGCTGGAGAGCAGGACGCGCTGGCCAGGGGCTTCCCAGCAGCACCCCGCGACTCCAAGGGTCCCGTGAGGGGCAGAGACRAGAACCAGCGGGGCGCCTTTCATGCCCAGCCCTCCCCTGTGGACCTCCGCTAGCATTTCGTTGAGAACCTACTATGCACCGCGCCTGGGGACCTACTGGGCACCGCGCACCTTGGCTGCTGCTGGGAGGCCATGAGCCCAATCCCYGCCCCGGCGCTTTCCCTCCGGAGGACGGAACCATTGCCAAGCGGTCACCCCCAGGGCCTACTGTGCGCCCTGCGACCTCYGTGACAGGACACCTCAGTGCCGAGGACTGACTGTGGCCCTGAAGTCTCATCTTGGAGACTCAGCCCCCCCGCTCCACAGGGGCCTCGGGAGGCCTTTGCGCCCGGAGGGCTCAAGGGCACACGGACGCAGCTTCCCCCACCCCCTGCTCTCACCCTGGCCACCCGCCATGTGGGACAGGGCCCTCACCAGAGGCTAAAGCCTTGACCTTGGACTTCCCAGCTGCCAGAAGCAGGGCAGAATGAACTTCGCTCTTTATAAACCACCGGCCTCGGGCCCCCAGCTACAGCAGCGCCACAGATGACACGGCCCGGAAGGTCGTGGTGCGGCACAGAGGGACACCGAGGCTGACTGAAGAGGGCACGAGGCTGTCAGGTAGCAGGGGYGGGGCAGGGCGGGGCTCCAGAAAACTGACGGGCTGCCCACTGTGTCAGCGGGATGGMCAGGGGCAGAAGGTGTGGTCAGGAGGCCACTCAGACCCCAGGGGAGCACACCTCGACTTGCCCATGAAAACCCGACACCCACCCCCAGTTTCCACGCTGCCCGCCCCGGGAGACGGCTGGTGGGACAGCATCAGATTGCTGCAGAGAGCTCCCGGCTTGAGGACACAGATTTTGAAAGACGAAGCTGTAAAGAGGAATGGGCCTGCCCAGGCTGAATCAGCCCCCATCCAAATGCTGCTGCATCAAGGTTCTGTCTCCTCAGCATGGACGGTGCGCCAGGCCCCAGGTTACCTCCYGTCATCCTCAAAACCACAGTTTAGGACAGGGCTCCCAGCACCAAATGCCTGCATTCCAGTTCCTTGGTGTGTGACCCTGAGTAAGTCCCCCACTTCCCCCAGTTCAGCGCTAGGCCGGCCATGGGCTTGCTAGGGCACAACCTCTCTAAACTTGTCCGCACCTCAGGGCCTTTGCACATGCTGCTGCCTCTGCTTCAAACACTCCTCCCAGAGCTCCACTTGCCTTTCCAGCCAGGCATCCCCCCAGTCTCTGCCCCATCCCTCTGCTTTTTTTTCTTTTCATGCATCTACCAGGAAGGAAAGACTCATCTTTATTTATAGCACCCCGTCTCTCACTGGGACACATACTCCCRGAGGGCACAGACGGTGTTCTTATTCGCTGCCAGTGGCTGGTGCCTCAGATGGTGTCTGGCACAGATCAATATTTGCCGAGTAGCTCAAGGAAGGAACGCGTGAATGGACCAATAGAGAGCGAGCGGGGGATGAGCCAAGGCCACGCAACACCGCGATGCCGATGCCAACACCCGCTGGGGGCTGATGGGGAGCCTGCRGCCAGGGACACTCAGGGAGCGCCGGGTGCTGACGCCCTCGGCCACAGGGACTCCGCAGCGGGTGTCTCCTCGGGACCCCTCCCTGCGGAAAGCGCATCTGGAGCCCAGTCCTGGGGGGTCCACAGCCCGCGTCCCGCCTCTCCCGGTTGCCATGGCGACGGACATGCCTAGCGCATCCCTGCGGGGCTCTCACTTCTCACACGGGAATTTCTAAAGGAGCGTTCAGACCCCTTCCTCTGGGGACATTCTTACAGAAAAYGTCCTCCCTCGGCTCCGAGAGGAAAACGCACAACGCCGGGTCCCCACACCCGACCCCCGACTCCTGGGCGGAAAGCAGGGTTTTATTTTTAATTTTTTAAGCGGGGCCTCTGTTCTCAGGGTGGGAACCAGACGATCGTCCTCCACCATCATCKAGCAGCGCTCTGCCTGGAGCAGAGCGGCCGGCAGCTTGCCTGACCGCCACGGGTCCTGAGTCATGAGTGCCTGCGGTGGCAGTGTCCTGGGCTGGACTCTGGGGACACAGCAGGCGGGATCACTGTCCCCAAGGAGCCTTCAGTCCAATGCAGCAGGCACCCATGAGAGGGGCATTGGTGGCAAGGAGCAGAAGAGGGCAACATGGCAGAGGAGAAAGGGCAGGTCCACCTTCCACGGGCTGTGTGTCCCTGGGCAAGTCACTGTCCCTCTCTGAGCCTATGATAGGAAGACGATGATGATGACAATGCTGCCTGAAGGTGCTGATGGACCCATGGAAAGCTCCTGGTAGATGGCAAGTGCTTGTGAAGCAGAGGAAGCTGGTCATGGGCTGTCCCTGCCATCAGGGCCTGGAGAGCTGTCTGGGYGTGAGGTTCCCTGAAGGAACACTGGGGTCCCGGAGGGCCCAGGGGGTCTGAGACATCGGGATGCAGCTTTCCACATGAACGTGCAGAAAACTACTGAGGAAGGGGCTGAGCTGAGCTCTGAGCAGCTTAGTCTCCCAGCCCGCGGGGTGTCGAGTGGGGCTGCCCCGGCCAGGGCACCCAGACCAGCCACAGGTGGGAGGCCAGGCCTCGGGGACTACGGGCAGAGCAGGAGCAGGGGCCTGGATGCAAACCTGGAGGCCAGACAGGGGGTGGGGGGAGGCTGGACGCCCCGCCAGGAGCTGCTCACAGCCACCAGGTCGCCCTGTGCAATGAACTCTGGTGGCAGGTGTGGCACTGGAGCAGCCGTCCCCAGCCCAGGACCTGGCTGTGACTGAGAGCAGCCCAGATGCTTGGCTTCCAGCCTCACGGCCCACACAGGCTGCCTGGCACCCTGTCACTAGCCTGTACCACTCTCCTCTCCAGCCTCAAGTGGCCCAGCAAGCCCACGGCCTTGCTTCTCCTACAGAGAGCACACAGTAGGGCGCAGAGCYGTCTGTCTGCAAGGGGCTGTCACCACGGCATTGCTCACACTATGCTCAGAACTGGAAAGGGCCACATGTCCACCCAGAGGGGACAGCTTCA